ATGCCAAAAATAAGGGTAACTACTATGAAGGGATAAAAATATGACTCTAAAAATGAAAACTAAAAAATGTTTTTTTAAAAAGGGATTGATAAGATGTTGTTTGAGAAAGGTAAAAAGAAAAATTCAAAAAAAAAACAGTTAAAAAAATTAACTTTGAAAAACTAATGAATTATGGTAAAAAGCCATGAATTCTATGTGCAGTATTCCCCTAGTGCTGGAGTTCTCCCGTTCTCCTTGATCGGTAAACTTGGTCTTGTCTTGCTGGCTGTTCATGCTGATCTTCTGGGGGAGGGTCCTGTTGCCGTGGTTTCCAAATGTCTTTGCCGGAGGAGGAATTGCCCCACCCTTGTGAGTCCCGGCTAAGCAGTCTGCTCGGGTTTGCTCTCAGGAGCTTTTGTTCCCTGCAAGCTCTCGGTACAGCTTTGGAGGACCAGGGTGAAAATGGTGGCCTCCCAATCTCCACCCGGAGGAGCCGAGAACTCGGGGCCCCGCTCCGCAGTGCACCCCCAGAGAAAAGCAGTCAGTCACTCCCGTGTCCCCAGTCTCCGGCCGCACTCCGTGCTCACCCGGCCTGTGACCGAGTGTTTCTATCTCTGGCACTCGACCCTGTGTGGAGTCTCCAAACCCAGCAGATCCCTGCAGTGCACTCCCGCGCTGCTCTTCCCAGGGGAGGAAGGGGAGTCTCCCCAGCTCTGCCGCTTGTTGGGTCCCTGCTGGAGGAGCAGTGGCCCAACTGGGCCGCGGATAACAGTTTATGGCAACCCCGAGCTGACAGCCCACGCCTCAGCTCTGTCTCTGCAGCCGGCATCCTCGCTCCGATAGCTGGGAGCTCTGCCACACTCAGGTAGCCCCGGTCTTTCTGTGACCTCGAGGGTCCTGAGACCACACTGTCCCGCGAGGGTTCCACCCCCCGCTTAGCCACTGGAGTGACGTCCCTCAGCGGAGCCAACTTCTAAAAGTTCCGATTTTGTGCTCCACGGCTCTATCACTTGCCAGAAGCGGCCGACAGAGGCCCCCTCCCCCGCCGTCTCTCCTCCCGAATATCGCCTCGGATTCACTTCTCCGCACGTCCTACCTTCCAGAAAGTGGTCGC